TCTGATACTGGGTGTAAGATTTGTTATCGTGTATTTAAGTAAATATGGTAAAAAATGTTATAATTCTATTATTTGTAAAAAGAAAATATAGGTTATTTTTTATGTTTTTAACATGCTTTAATAGAGATATCACCAAACCTTTCAGCATCTGACCCATAGAATGGTCGACTCTTTGGTATTGGCGATCATTACGCGAAGCTTTTGTTTCTTTAAGCACTTAAAATAAATGTAAATTGTTCAGATTATGTTTTGTTGTTGATCTCAAGACCCAATACTGGTTCATCAAGGACTCTAACTTTGAGTATTAGGGCTTTAGTAGAGCTTTAGCTGACATCTTTTCTTTATTTCATTAAATAATAGTGTCAGGTCTAAGCACCTAGAACATCATACATACATACAGGGAAAGAAAGAAGGCACAGAGACAATTAATTTAGTTAGGAGAGTAGGAAGAGACTGCAGAGTTTACACTCTCCACCCCACTCTGCAGTCTTCAGCTTTCTCCTTGCTATTTATTGAAGAAAAGGGGATGTCCCTAATTACACCAACTGAGGTTTAACTAAAGGGAAAGGGGAAACAAAAGGATCTTACTTTAAACCTCAGCACATATGTTAAAACAAAGCATGTGGTTGTTTTACAATTGATCTGTTCCAAGAACACATGTTTAGAAGAAACATGTGATAGAGGCTGTTCAGGCCTCCTTCACAGCCCGTCCGTTGCATGACCTTTATCTGGAACAATCTTAAGCAAGAGTTAATAAAAGATGAATCACACATTCACACAGGTCATTTTATTTTGTTTTTCACATGTTGACTGTGCTTTATTTTTGCCTTGTTTTATGTTTCAGTGTTATTTTTGTTTTTCTTACAGTTCCTTTGGACTTATGATTTTGACGTGCATGCCTCCCGTTTCTCCGTCACCTCCATGAATCCCCAGGGATGTGAGTGGTTTCTATAGCAACAGAGGGGTCGCTGCAACATCACCAGCACAACGCCGAGTTAAAACCTGAATCTCAAAGGAAAAAAAAAAACATCCGTTTGTTCTGAGTCTCCCCTTACAGGAGGGGTTTCAACCTGTGGCTCCAGAGCTTCACGGGGCTCTTTGGACTTTGTTTAATGGCTCTTAGTAGAGGCTAAAAGGAGATAAAGAACTGACTCATATATTTTAATAACAAACGCCAGTCTTAGGAGCTTTAGTGGTTTTTATAAATAATATTTGAATTGAATCATCACAAAAGAACGACATCAAGAGAATCTGAAATATGTTTTTAGAGCAATTTTTATTTTAATTAAGCTAAAAATACCAATAAACTTGCAGTTGTTTAAGATGGCAACATATAACCTGACTCCGCCAGATGGATTTGCTCCGCATATCCATCTGGAAACCTTCCGTTGAAGTAATTGTGGGAAGGGGCGAAAATACTGGTTAGCTGATTAACCTATGTTAATCAGCTAACCAGAGCAGTGTTTTGCTCTTCTTTCAGTGAAGAAATACTCTGTAATTCCGATAAAACTTGCTCGATTGCCACGCTAACGCTAGTTTCATCGGCTGAAGCCGCCATGTTCTTTAGACTGAACTGTCACGCTTCTCGTTGCGTCACACCTCAACCCGCCTCAAAGTTCCTTTGGTGAAAGGCTCCAAATTTTCTTTAACGGAGAGTCTCCAGACTGATCTGCGAGTGAAACCTTGAAAGCTTGCGAGATCAGGATGGTCTCACGAGGCTAGGCAACAGATTACCTATGACAAATATTTGATAAAACATTTTTTTTCTATTCCTTAGGTAAAATCTATAAATGGCTTTCTTTACACATTCACCACGTTGACAAACCTAAGATGCAAAATAAGGGTCTAACTACGGATCAAATCAAGAAAAAAGCAAAAATGCTAAAACAGTAACTTGTAGTGATTTTGAATTATTTTTCTTTTCTGAATTTAACAGCACAGATGGTTAGAATATGTTGTTGTGAAAAGATGTTTGCAAACGTTTTTTTTGCATTTTTGCTTTTTTTCAGTTCCTACATATATCCGATCATAATTCACTATATCAAAGATAACCTGAGTAAATACAACAAACCTTTTTTTTTAAAGGTAGCCTATGTGGAAAAGCATCAAGCTCCTGTGTTAAACTACAATTTTATTAGAATTGATCAGTTGTAGAGTGAAAAAAATCACCCAAAAAGGACCCATCTGACAACACGAAGCTGGCTGGAAGGTCTCTAAGGGCAACAATTCATGCATATATCTAAAGAGGTTTAAGAAAAGATGAGGAGGAAAGTCTCAACCTATCTAACTGGAAATGTTGACAAAGGTATGCAGTTCCTTTGGACTGAAGATGTTTTTTATTAGATTTGTTTACCTTTAGGCAATACTACGCAGTTGCCTAGAGCCCCAAGTTCCTGGGGGCCCCATAAAACTCTGTTTACATGTATGGCTAATACAACTGTTTCTCATTTGTGCACAACTGTTTCTCATTTGTGCACATTAATTATGTATTTGATTAAAAATCCTGTTTTTAAAATGCCATCAGAACACTAATAAACATGTTCAGAAAGGTCCAATCAGACAGCAGCAAACCATTTGAAAACAAGTGATGCGGAGAGCAGTGTTGCCAACTTAGCGCTTTAGTCGCCATATTTAGAGACTTTTCAGATGCCTCTAATGATTTTATTTTAAAAAATCCAGCAACTTTATTCTGCTACTGGAGATTTTGGAGACAACATCTAAAAGCAGCGAACTCTGCTCTCCAGAGCAAGTAGATTGGTAACCCCGCCTCCTGCTCTCCTCCATCTTGTCTGCTGTCATGATTCATGCAGCTATTATTTCATCCAAATGAAAAATGGAGAACAGATAAGCAGATCATGGCTTGTCTACAGTGAAAAGAAGGACTGGGTGTTTTACTTTGGCCTTTTTGGAAACACAGGAAGGAGCAATCAGCTAAGTGAGCTTAGTGCTTGGAAAAAATCTTTCATTCCTTTAGAGACAGCATGAAAAGTCAACTGAGTACAAAACGTAGAGAAGAAAAGGGGCAAGAAGAGAGGGACAAAACCTAGAACAAATAATGGATTCCTATTCTATTAACATTTCTCTATCTGTAGAATGGGTCTGTTTCATGTGTTGTCTTCTCAATTCAGAGGGCCCCCTGCCTGTCTTTGCCTAGGGCCCCAAATTTCCTAAATCCGCCCCTGATTAAATTAACATTTCCATTCCATAAAGTGCAACAGTGATGAAATATAAACAGTGTGGAAGAAAAAAACATGGTGCAAACAAAGCATTTAGTGTTACATGACAAAGTTCAGAGTTGGCTACAATAGAGACGCGTTGTCTTTGCCTCAAACTCTCCACTAAATAAACAAAATAATAATTTAAAAAATTAGTTTATTTACTCAGGTTATCCTCTTTTGATACTGGAAGTAGTTTAAAAATATGAAACACTGCAATTGGATATAAATACGAACCAGAAAAAAAAAACAGCTTTTACTGAGTAAAATATAAGGAAAGGCTTTTTATCACCTTACTTTAAATCAATCTGCAGTGAAGAAACTATGATGTGGAAAAAGCTGCAGCTGATTCAAGCACACAAACCCTGTTTCTATGAATCCTTGCAGCTTGAATGATACAGAAGTAGAAGTAGCATTCAATCCTGGAGCATTTCGGTATGATTGTGGGCTTTATTAACTGGACTTCATGGTCAGTAACTCTCGGCTAAAGCTGGACGCTGTGTAGATGTAGCGTGACCCTCTTGTGATGCTTCTGTCTGTCTTATTATTTGGCTTTGAAATGTATCTGCTTACATCACAAACATGAATCCAAAGCAGGGGAGTGTTTTTTATTTATTTTTTGTTTTATTCATGGCTCTGTTGAGTCCATATATGTGGTAATTGAGTCATTATCAGACATTTGCTCTGTAGCAGTAAATGTCTTTAGGAACACATTGTGGGCTATTTGTTTATTGTAAACCCTGGGCTGCGAACCAAAAACTCGATGACAGAGCCATGCAAACTGATTTCAGTGAACAAAACATTCCAACCTTTTAAAATCTTGTAGGGGAAGAATAAATACTGTCCTGGCTTTGTGTGCCGTCAGTATGTCTGAAACCAACCAAAGCACTTCGGTTCACTGTCTCCTATTTCCATCTAACAGAAAAATGTTTGGCAGCAAAGCATTCAACTATCTAACAAAAAAAAATCTGACAGAATGTATTTCAAGATTAAATAAATTCATCTGAAACAGATTCAGCTAAAGCTAGGTGAGTCACCCGTCCTGCAAACAGGAAGCCTGGGTTCGTTACCCAGGCGGAGACGCTAAGCAAAGACACTTAACCCCACACTGGTCCCCAGGCGCCGCACAATGGCAGCCTCCACGTCTCCCCAACAGATGGGTTAAATGCACAGAGTTCATTTCGTTGCTCTGTTTTTGTGGCAGTGTAATGACAATAAAAAACTGAAAAAAAAAAAAAAATAGAGTTAAATTCAAAATCCCAGTTTATTCCAAATCTTGTATTCTTTCTAACTTTTGTTGGTGTCTCCAAAAGAAAACCAAACGATGGATCGTTGAGCTGTGGTCTAAAGGTTCAGTGTATTCTCATTATGAGTTCGTATGAAATCGTACGAAAAGTTATGCACCGTAATTTCGTACGTTTTGGACGTTTTTTTCGTTGTATGCGCATCTGACGCACCATTCACGAATATAGAATATAAATTACAATTAGCCCTAACCCTAACCCTAAGATATAAAACAGCAAGCAACGTAGTTAGAGACATGAATAAGTGATGATTGCACTGTTTTTCCCAGTTTTACGTCCGTCTGCGGATCTGCTTTTTTTTCTGTCTGCCAGCGCATGCGCACTGATGTGGTTTTTTGAGGAAAAACGTCCAAAACGTACGAAAGAGTGTGCATAACTTTTCGTACGATTTCATACGAACTGATAATGAGAATATGTTGCAGTGCAGTGAAAGGTTTGCTGATCTGATCTGCCGACTAACTTTGCTCTGTTGTGTGTTCAGCCAAGGACTGTGGCAGGTTTCCGAGGGACGGTCCGCTATGCTTCAGTTAACGCCCATAAGAACAAGGTCAGTCCTGCTTGCTTTTTTCATTTGACTCATTATATAATTATTCTCCAAGTTTTTACACACCCCAACAGAAAATCAGGAAGCTTGCACGTTTCATAGATTGAAATAACAAAAAAGTAATTCACAAACAGATTTAATTAAAAATGTGTAGAGGATAACTTTTTCTCACTCTTTCAAATGATTTTTGTTCACATTTATTTTAATCAATTTAATTGTTTTCCAAATTCATTTTACAGATTTTATCTTTTCAAATATAGTTTTTTTTTTCAAATTTCTTTATATTTCATTTTTTTCCCCGAATATTTTTCTACAAATTTAAGTTTTTCAGATATTCCGAGTTTAATGAATTTTCAAATTGTGTTTCAAAGATTATATAATAGCTTTACTTCAAGTAAAGAAAACAAACCCAGACAGTAGCTCTGATAAACATCGACCTGTACGACGCTATCGCTAACATCCAGGCAGACCAATCAAAACGCTCCCTGTCCATCGGAAAGCCGCCTCTGGAAGTGAATAGAACATGATCTGTTAAATGCAATTGGAAAAGAATGAAATTTGTGAAACTCGATCTGAAAAACCAATTAGCAAAAGAAAATTTTAACAAAATTAATACAAAATATAAAATCTATAAAATTATTTTGAAATAACAAAGTCCAAAAAACATGCAAATAGATTAAAAATCAAAATCTGAGAAAAGAGCAAATTTACTCTTAAAACTTTTTTTTATTTAAACGTTTTTTCAAATTTGTATTTCTGGATTCCATTTTTTATTCATTCTTCAAGTTTTTACACACCCCAACAGAAAATCAGGAAGCTTGCACTTTTCATAAACTGAAATAACAAAAAAATAATTCACAAACAGAACTTTAAAAGATGATTTAATAAAAAATGTGTTGAGGATAACTTTTTCTCAGACTCTTTCAAATGATTTTTTTTCACATTTATTTTAATCAATTTAATTGTTTTCCAAATTCATTTTACAGATTTTATCTTTTCAAATATAGTTTTTTATTTTTTTCAAATTTCTTTATATTTAATTTTTTTTCAAATATTTTTGTACAAATTTAAGTTTTTCAGATATTCCGAGTTTAATGAATTGCACTCTTTTCAAATTGTGTTTCACAGATTATATCATATCTTTTCTTCAAGTAAAGAAAACAAACCCAGACAGTAGCTCTGATAAACATCGACCTGTACGACGCTATCGCTAACATCCAGGCAGACCAATCAAAACGCTCCCTGTCCATCGGAAAGCCGCCTCTGGAAGTGAATAGAACATGATCTGTTAAATGCAATTGGAAAAGAATGAAATTTGTGAAACTCGATCTGAAAAACCAATTAGCAAAAGAAAATTTTAACAAAATTAATACAAAATATATAATCTATAAAATTATTTTGAAATAACAAAGTCCAAAAAACATGCAAATAGATTAAAAATCAAAATCTGAGAAAAGAGCAAATTTACTCTTAAAACTTTTTTTTATTTAAATGTTTTTTCAAATTTGTATTTCTGGATTCCATTTTTTATTCATTCTTCAAGTTTTTACACACCCCAACAGAAAATTGGGAAGCTTACATATTTAACAAAAAAATAATTCACAAACAGATTTAATAAAAAAATGTGTTGATTTTTTTTCCACATTTATTTTAATCAATTTAATTGTTTTCCAAATTCATTTTACAGATTTTATCTTTTCAAATATAGTTTTTTTTTTTTCAAATTTCTTTGTTTATTTTTTTTTTCCTGAATATTTTTCTACAAATTTAAGTTTTTCAGATATTCCAAGTTTAATGAATTGCACTCTTTTCAAATTGTGTTTCACAGATTATATCATATCTTTACTTCAAGTAAAGAAAACAAACCCAGACAGTAGCTCTGATAAACATCGACCTGTACGACGCTATCGCTAACATCCAGGCAGACCAATCAAAACGCTCCCTGTCCATCGGAAAGCCGCCTCTGGAAGTGAAAAGAATATGATCTGTTAAATGCAATTGGAAAAGAATGAAATTTGTGAAACTCGATCTGAAAAACCAATTAGCAAAAGAAAATTTTAACAAAATTAATACAAAATATAAAATCTATAAAATTATTTTGAAATAACAAAGTCCAAAAAACACGCAAGTAGATTTTTTTCAAATTTGTATTTCTGGATTCAATTTTTTATTCATTCTTAGAGTTTTTACACACCCCAACAGAAAATCAGAAGCTTGCACGTTTCATAGATTGAAATAACAAAAAAGTAATTCACAGATTTAATAAAAAATGTGTTGAGGATAACTTTTTCTCAGACTCTTTCAAGTGATTTTTGTTCACATTTATTTTAATCAATTTAATTCAATTCATTTTACAGATTTTATCTTTTCAAATATAGTTTTTTTTTTTCCAAATTTCTTTATATTTCATTTTTTTTTTCTTCGAATATTTTTCTACAAATGCTCCCTGTCCATCTGAAAGCCCGCTTCTGGAAGTGAATAGAATATGATCTGTTAAATGCAACTGGAAAAGAATGAAATTTGTGAAACTCGTTTTGAAAAACCAATTAGCAAAAGAAAAATTTAACTATAAAATCTGCAAAATTAATAAAAAATATCAAATCTATAAAATAATTTTGAAATGACAAAATCCAAAAAAACATGCAAATAGATCATTAAAATCTCAGAAAAGAGCAAATTTCGTTTTTTTCAAATTTGTATTTCTGGATTCCATTTTTTTTTTTATTCATTTACAAACATGTTATTTGTTGCAACAATAATGTCCAAAATCCCTCTCTCCTCTTTCAAAGTGATGCAAAGTCGTCTCAAAGTCGTGCCTTTCTGTGCCCTTCCAGGAAATGGGTCGCCATGACGACCTGTGGTCCTTGTTTTACATGCTGGTGGAGTTCGCTGTTGGCCAGCTACCGTGGAGAAAAATCAAAGACAAGGTCAGATGATTTGAAATAAAACATCTAAATATGCTGTTAGGTTTATTCAATAATGATTATAAAATTAATGTGTGTTTAATTTGTGCGAGGGGATGCTCCACTCCTGTGTCATGATCCAGTCTTCATGAACTGATCAATTGTTCTGTCAGAACAATACTCTGCTTGTAACCATGCGTCATGTTCTGTTAATAAAATGCTCTGCGGAGGAGGTCCAGTGGGAGACAGTGCGTTTGAGTCTGGGGTTCAACTGTCTCTCCTTTCTGCAGAAATTGTATCCGTAAATTGTGTATTTCAGTTCTTCTTAAGCAAAAACCTACATTTTATGAACCCGACATATGCGTTCAGACATCAGTTTGAAAAACAACCAAAATGTGGTTTTATTTTTTATCCGTTTTAGAAATTAAACACAGGCAGTCTGTTCAGCTGCTCCTGTGTGCAGGGGGTCGCCACTGAAAGTCAGAGCAACTTGTGTTCACGCACACTTGGCCGAGCTTTTACGCCCGGAAGCTCTTCCTGATGCAAACGGGATTTGAATCGGGGTCACCTGCATCACAGACACAGACTTAGAGCGCTACATCACAGAGGGTCACAGAAAATAATGATTCCTGCAGGACATTATTTTGCTCTCATATGTGCTAGAATGAATCTCACTGCCTTAAAGGAATAGTACACCCAAAACATGATTAGCCTTCATTTTCTACTCACCCCCATGCTGAACAACACTCTGGAGTACTTTTTTGATATCTCAAATGCATCTGGAGATCTGGGAGGCTTCTTGCTGTCTGCTGACATTCAAATAATGGAGGTCTATGGCGCCCGAGGCAGAAAGGTCCATAAAAGTCCACAAAAAACGTGTCAATATTCCTCCATACTGCTCGTCCAATGTATTCCAAGTGTCCTGAGTGGGTAGCATCCATAATTTACTCGAAACGAAGTCATTTAGAATGTTTTTAGAGCATAAACAGTAGTGTATAGGATTTCCTGAAAGCGCGTTCACGAGTCTACGGAAACCGCGGCAGACCAAACCAGATGAAAGTGCGCATTCAGCTCGGCAAAGAACTCATGCTCTTCCTCAACACTGAAGTCCTCAGACATTTTTCTTTCGTTGTTTCTTTCTTTGCACAGGTAAACAGCACATTTCTTCTTCTACGCTTTCATTATCGGGAGAGCAGACGCTGAATGCGCACTTTCATCTGGTTTGGTCTGCCGGCTTCCGTAGGCTCGTGAACGCGCTTTTAGGAAATCCTATACACTACTGTTTATGCTCTAAAAACATTCTAAATGACTTCGTTTCGAGTAAATTCTGGATGCTACCCACTCAGGACACTTGGAATACATTGGACGAGCAGTATGGAGGAATATTGACACGTTTTTTGTGGACTTTTATGGACCTTTCTGCCTCGGGCACCATAGACCTCCATTATTTGAATGTCAGCAGACAGCAAGAAGCCTCCCAGATCTCCAGATGCATTTGAGATATCAAAAAAGTACTCCAAAGTGTTGTTCAGCATGGGGGTGAGTAGAAAATGAAGGCTAATCATGTTTTGGGTGTACTATTCCTTTAACTAAATGTAAATCTCCCTGAGTGATTTTAAATAATAGGAAATAGAGCCTAAAGCTTTAAAATCAGAGTTGGCAGCACCATAGATTGTTGCTGCTCACCTAGAAAACTCCTCCTCTCTAAACTGGCTGTTGCTTCCTATTGATTCCATCATCATTTCTAAAATTAATCAGATAAAACCCAAGTTTCTTATGACTTGTTTACTGACAGGATCAACTATATTGGATAAAGACTGATGTGGATTTTTGTTTCATTGCTCAGGAACAAGTAGGTCAGATTAAAGAGCGTTACGACCACCGGATGCTGCTCAAACACATGCCTTCAGAATTCAATATTTTCCTGGATCACGTCCAGGCCTTGGATTATTACACCAAACCAGACTACCAGGTACAGTAAGCGCACGGATACCTGTAATCCCAGCACTGGCGTTCTCACTGATGTTACTTTGATGTCTTTTAGCTGTTGATGTCAGTATTTGAGAACAGCATGAAGGAGCGAATCATAACGGAGAATGAGCCCTTCGATTGGGAAAAGGGAGGAGGCGACGCTACGCTCTCGACCAGTGCCTCCACTCAACCACAGCACAATACCCGACCCACCGCCGCCATAGTGGGGTAAGAGCCTCCAAACGCCTGCCGAGCAGGAACTGAGACGGATTCAGTAGAGAAGATGAATCCTTTATCCTGGATTATTGCTGAGTATTAATTAAGGGCCCACAGATGTAGCAGGAGTGTGTTCATGTGACGTAGGTAACCTGCTTTTCTTCTTTAGTATGCCGACATCCATCCATATTAGCCAGTGGTAGGCCTGTCACGATAACAAATTTTACTGAAAGATTAATTGTCTCAAAAATGATTGCGATAAACGATATTGTTTTAAGACCTTTTTACACTGATTTAATGGAAATGACTTAATAATGCATGCATTTTCCTGCCAAAGATAAACACTTATTTTCAACAGAACACTTAACAATGGAACTGGTTAGCAAAATAAAACGAGAAATAAAAATCAAATGGACTCTCAGTTACGGTGGCCCTGAAGTGCAAACTGCAACTACAAATCTAAAAGCGCAACTACATTAAGGAAATCGATATGGACAACAAATAATGGACAACGGCGCCGTTTGACCCTTGAACCGGAAGTTGCGTCGTCTGAACAGTCCAGCTTCTTTTAAGTGTGTCTTCAGTGTACGCAAACTAACAGAAATTTGGTGATTAGTCTTGAGCATATCCAGTATCACCTCGTACGTATGTCCTGATTCAAAATATTCCTGGATAACAGCAGCTATGTTTGGGGCGCCGACAATATCCATGTTTTCAAACGCTGCAGCAGGCAGAATGACTTCCGGTTCAAGGGTCAAACGGCGCCGTCGTCCAATCAGCGATGTCTCATGTTTCCCACTGGTACCTACCTTTTCCGGTAGGTCAATGTAATTGTGTTTTCCTTAATGTAGTTGCGCTTTTAGATTTGTAGTTGAAGTTTGCACTTCAGGGCCACCGTACTCAGTCTCTGTTAACTAAAATACACTTGAATAAAAACTAAACACAAGATAAAACCACAGTGGAAATAAAAACGTTGTATGTAGACGTATCACGTTTGTAATATGTATGTTTTTGTCGGGAGTTCATACTCTCTATCAAATGTCTGCAACATTTTTTGAAATGCCGGCTTTTCAACAATATTAAATGGGAGAATCTCCTTAGCAATTAAATGAACTACGGCGTCTGTGAGCGCGCGCCACTTTGCGCCATCCTTTTTGCATGCTGCCTGTCGATTAATTCCTTCAGTGATGGTGGACTGTCGTGAACTTGAAGACGCAGGCGGGCCACCGCTTGTACTTTTTGACAGAAACTTTGCTGTTTGGTTGCGGTTTGGTTGTGCTTTAGGTGCATGGGTAGGTTGGTTGTTTTGCTGCTCTTAGTTGCTACTGTTTTATGACAGATGCGACATACTGGCTCACATAGGTTCAGCAGTTCGCCTCGGTCATTTGGTTTGAATCCGAAATACTCCCAAACTGCGGCTGTTGCGCTCGACTTTGAAACAAGCTCCATTTCGAGCTTTTTCCCCCCAACATAAGATGTTTTTTTTTACCTTGCTAACTCCTCTAACTCCTCACGGGACTCTTACGCTGCAGAAGTACAAAATGATGCGCGCTGACGAACTGATGCCATAGTCGACTCTTCCTCCCTCCTCAAAAATGAGGAAGGGGAGGGGTCAGAGGATAGCACCGGAGTTAAGCCTTTTCATCCAGCGTCATCAATAGAAAGAGATAAACACAGGCAGTGACGATATAGCCAATAAATGAAATGACGTGGGTAGTTTTTATTTATCGTGCGATTAATTGATTTATTGATTATCGCGACAGGCAAAACCCTCTGGTAAAAGTTGAAGTATCAACTTGAAGTCTTTACTCAAGTAAAAGTGAAAAAGTATGTGCTCCAAAAACTACTTAAAATATAAAAGTATAAATTAACCTTAAAAATAAAAACAGCCAGATGCCACTATATGAATTAAAAGCTAAATTGTTCGACTATTTCGAAAAATTCTCTGAGATAGGGCCAAGGATGAGGGAGGTCTTGTTGGTCTCAGTCTCCCGATACGCTCTCGCCTGTGTCCGACCTTTCAGACATTTCAACATCTTTTTCTGAATCCCACATTGCAGCATGGCATAGACAATTCACGTTAGCAGTTTGAAGAACACCTGCTTGCTTCTGATGATTTCCTTTAGCTAACCAATGAGTGTTTGCGTTCTATGACTCATCCAATCACACTAGTTTTCACTAGATGTGGATGGAGCCAATGATCTTCATTGGATGGAGCACATGACGGGAAATAAAAATGTATAAACATTAAACCAAAGTCAAGAGTAACGAGTAACGTTTGTTTTAAAATCAGAATCAGGCATACTTTAATAATCCCAGAGGGAAATTAAATTAAGGAATAGAAAGCACAGATACTTGTGTGAAAATGTAATAAGTAGAAGTAAGAAGTAGGAATAAAAATAAGTAATACAGTGAAGTATAAATACCTAAAAAGTGTACTTAAGTACAGTAACAAAGTATTTGTACTTTGTTACTTGACACCTCTGATATTAGCATAGCTACTGATGACACTTAAGGGCTGGTTATCCTCCCGCAGCAGTGTGTCGCAGTTAGCTTGTCGCAGATGTTTTTGATTTATGCGGGTCTGCGCTACCTTATTCCACGCCATAACGCAAGAGGGACAATCATGAACTAGCTGTGGGTCTACATACAGCCGAGGCAGTGAGGGAGTGGAAAAAAGAACATTTGGAGGGACATGAGTGCGAAAAAGAGGTTTCTTCTTGTTAAAAGGAAGTTTTTCCTCTCCACTGTCGCTACAATAGGGGTGGAACGGTTCACAAAATCCACGGTTCGGTTCGCTGTTTCGTGGTCACGGTTTTCGGTTCGGTTCGGTATATATTGATTGTTACACCGAAATCCCATAAAAGTTCATGAAATTAATGAAAAAAAAATAAATTAATTAATGAATTGTAATTATTTTTAATGATCCGCGGAAACCCTGGATCATTTCCGCATGTTTTGCTGCTTTGAATTTAATCATCTGGCGCATGCCCTCTACGATCTCCAAGGAACTCAGAGCGGAGCGGACCAAACCGAGAAAGTCGAACCGAACGGTTCGGACGGTTTTCATAAACCGTTCCATCCCTACGCTACAAGCATGCTAAGTGTGAGGGATTGCACTCGATGCAATCAGCTGGTTTTCCTTAGATAGAAAACTCTGGATTATCTGGTGAACTGTAAAGTGCCTTGAGATGATATGTTGTTAGTTGGCGCTGTAGAAATAAACTGAATTGAAAAGAGCGGGGATCCAGGGGGGAAAAGGCTCCCAGCGTTCTCGGGGTGAAATATTTGCGTTAAAGGTACACTATGCAACCGGTGTTGATTTTCCAGCGAGGCTCCCCCCATAGGGCGAAAGTAAAAGTGCACTGTCGTAAATATGCACAGCTGTTCTCCTGGTTTCTCTGTCAAGCCAGGCGCGGTTGTTTTGAGCTTAGCAGACAGGCGAACGCAATGAATGACTAATGCTGCGTTCACACCGCAGCTGGCGCGACAGAAGCAGCGAGTTTACATGCAAAGTCAATGGTTAACGCGCGTCAAGGCGCAGAAAAAGGTCCCGCGGCGCGTTTTGAGCAGCTGAGCAGCTGAAGCAGCGCGTCGGGCGCGTTTAAGCATCTGACGCAGGGAGAGAGACACAGCGCTGATGATCAGAGGCTATGATCACTCCTCTTAAACAGTTTATTGACGCCTAAATTAACTTAAAATGCAGAAATCTGCCGGCAGAATATGCAGTTGGATTATTTAGATGAAAAACACCTACCAGCTGCCGCGGTGAACCGCGAGGAGGCGACCCGGCCCGAGGCTGCTGATGAAGGGATTCCTACTGTCGGCGCACCGCTGGTATGTAGAGGTCTGAGCGCCTCCGACAGAAAAAATATTGAAGGCAGGATGATAATCTAAATGAACTGACGGCACTGATTACGTTTTCAGGTGTATTTTCTCACTTAAACACATATTAAAACTACTTTATTCCCACTGATCACAGCAAATATAGCTGCAAGGCAGAGAAAGGATAGTGAAGCTCCGCCCAACGCGCGTCAGACACACTTTTGCACCGCGCAGCCAGAGCAGCAAAGCTGCTTCAGCAGCGCGTCAGAACTAACTGGTACAAGCAGTAAAAATGAAGCAGCAGACGGGATTTTGCTGCTTTTGCTGCGTGAACGTAGCATAACTGCACAAAGATCGCCACTGTGCTAGCAACGAGCATGCTTTTAACTGGGGGCGGGTAGCAGTTCTCGCCGTAAAGCAAGACCGACTCTCGCGAGACTTCGGAGCCTGTGGGTGCGGGTCGGTGCTCCTGCAATTGCAAGTGCGGTATTTCCCCCACAGACCACCAGGGCGGCCGAGAATACCTTTGTTCAACCTGAAATGAATCATTCAATAATCCAAAACATTATGGAACACATTAATTAACTGAAAAATGTTGCATAGTGTGCATTTAACTGCGACACACACGCAGACCACCTGGTTTCTGAGCGTAAATTAGCCTTTACAGTGGTAGCAGGAGATAAATGCTGACAATCATGGTCCTGGAAGGACCTTAAAGGTTCTTAAGTATGAAATTTACCAAGGTTTGGGAATTCTGCATATATTGGTTCACATTCCCTTTGTCAACTAAAGGTAAACTGCCTTGCTCATAGGCGCATGTTGCAGGGGACCAAACTGGAACCCACATCTTTCAACCTCTCCTTTTATAGATTAGTTTTATAGATTAGTTTAGTTGATGATTATTTTTACTACTTATACACTATTTCTGAAGTGATAAAGATGTTGGTTCTATTTGTAGATCAGTGAAAAATGGCCGCTAGGAGGCGCTCTTCAATGCCGTCTTTTATCAGCCTTCTTTGCTATTAAACTTTTTGTCATATTCCTGCTTTTCTGAGTTTGGCAGGATCTATTTTATTTGTAAAAACAGTTTGTTGACTCGTGCCTTACGTCCACAGAGCAATTGTGACGCCGGTTCCTGGAGACCCTCAGAGAGAAAACACCGAAGACGGCCTGCGCGATGAACATTTCAGCGATCAGGAGAACGCTCCTCCCCCGCCACCGAGCCGGCCGCCGCCAGAGACGGCTACGCAGCCGAACGCCAGGGAGCCTGGGGAGGCCTGGGAGGACACAGACTTTAACCGCAACAGACTCAGGATCAGTCTTAACAAGGTCTGACTGTAACAATCTGGAGCAAAACCTCACATTGGAGTTGATGTCCAGCTGTTTTTCATAGTTTTTTTCCCCCCTGCTGTTTCTCAGGGGCCTGAGGAAGATGAGGCGGGTCGAGCGGCAGGTCCTGTGTCGCCAGTTCGAGGGGGGGGCCCTGAGTCGCCGACAGGTCAGGGTCGGTCTTTACGATATCGTCGGGTCAATAGCCCCGAATCTGACCGCCTGTCTGCTGCTGAAGGCAGAGTGGATGGCTACGGACAGAGGTAACCATAGCAACACTGGGGGTGTTTTAACTGGGAGGTACATTTGCTTAACTCTTATTTACTGAACCTGATGGAAAATAATAATCTTACCCATTCTTCAGGCTTTAGGGATGTTTGTGGGAATATTTGATCAATTTTCATGGAAAACCTTTGGTTACTCACTGCTGTTAAACCAGCAGGCCTGGTTTAGACAGGTTCCAGTTCCCAGTGAAGATGGCTTCCCAGACTTCACCGTGATTCATCCTGAATGTGTTTGATGAGGCTCTATGTCGGCACGTCTACCTCCTCAATGTTAAACTAAATCATTCATGTCTTGCTTGTTAAATAGCTGCCAAATTGGACAAGCCTGGAATTGACCTAAAGGGCTCAATATGCTGAAGTCCTAAGAGTTATTTTAGTTACATTTAAGGGGTGCAGCTCAGTTCTTAATAATTAGCCCAAAGCATTTCTGTTCAGTTTTTTTCTATAGCGCCAATTCACATCATCTCATCTCAACTCAAGTTTTCTATCTAAGGAAAACCAGCTGATTGCATCGACTCATTGACTTGAATGCAATCCCTCACACTAAGCATGCTTGTAGCGACAGCGGAGAGGAAAAACTCCCTTTTAACAGGAAGAAACCTCCAGCAGAACCAGGCTCAGTGTGAGCGGCCATCTGCTGAGGCCGACTGGGGTTCAAGGAGACAGAAGCAGAGATAGAAAAGGCAACTGTCAACCAGCTCCACAGTCTCCACCTCCTGCCAGACAGACAAGCTCCGAGCCAGCTCCCACGTCAGAGGATGAAGAGAGCAAATCCAGCCAGTCACAGTCAGAGAAACAGGGCTATTCTGAATTATTCCTTCTTTCCAAAAAGGCTCAAACTTTATGGTCAAGCAAGCAAACGCCATTCTCCTGGTAAATGCAAAGCCAGGGGCTCTAATTTAATAAACATTGCATTAAATCAATGGTAAAAGTCTACGAAAATGGAGCCTGGAAACAGAGCTATTGATTCATATATGACTGGATGTTCAGTTATTAAATATAAAATGTTTATTATTAAATAATGAATTCAATAGATAATTTAAAAAAAGGGAAATTGTGACGCAATGTCCCTTTAAAGATAAACTTACAGTTACCAATGCTGTTGTTATGTGTTCCCCCAACACTCTTCTTCATGAGTGTTGGGTGGCTTCGTTTACAGGATCAGTGGATTGAAGCCACGACTGAACTAAAACGAAAAATAATTAAGAAATCAACATCTAGCTCATCAGGGTTTAAATGTTAAAGAATTTCACGTTTCTCTGCTTCTAATGATTTCTGTTTTTCCTCCAGATCCAGGATGGACATGCTGGGATCTCCCTCTCGTCATGTTTACTCCTCTCAACCAGCTCAGATGCTCTCCGTCGACCCGGGTTGCCGTGGCGACCGTCAGGCCAGCGGACGCCAAGAGGTGTCGGTGGCGTCTGTTGACCAGGAGGCGCACAGCAACGCTTTCATACGGTCTGTCCCGCTGGCCGAGGAGGAGGACTTTGACAGCAAAGAGTGGGTGATCATCGACAAAGAGGCCGAGCTGCGGGATTTCCATCCCACTACGTCAGGAACCACTGATGAGGAGCCCGAGGAGCTCCGCCCCCTGGAGGAGCAGGAGGAGAGGAGGCGGCTGAGGGCTGGAGGTGAAATTAGCAAATTCTTTTTTTTTAGAAACTGCGATAGAAAGCAAGTTTTTTTGTATATTTTTAATTCTGTTTTTTTAACACCTTGAATTGTAGAGAAGAAGCAAAGTTATTTTCTTTAAATGTTTGTAGAGCATATAGAGACACAGTGGTGGTAGCATCATCCTAGGGGCTCTGATGTGATTTAAAGAGTGGACGGAACCCCGTAGGGGAAGAACTTCCTCCAGATCGTCTCTTCTTGCAGTCTCAACATTCTGTGTTCTTACAGGAGGGGAGCTGGTGGTTCGGCCCAAAACTCACACCCGCGACAGCAGCCGCGGGATGCTAACGCTAACGGAAGAAGAGGCATCGAGGAGAAGCGGCGGGAGCCCCGCACAGTCGCCCTGTCACTCACTGCCGTCGGGACGCCCACGCAGGAGAGAGTCAGAGCCGACCGGACCTCAGAGACCGGTAAGAGACCCAGGCGTCCGTTTAGTGGAGAGCTCAGCTCTCTGGAGGAACGGCTGGGGGTGGACAGATGAGCAGAGGGATGGGCTGCCATGCACTTCACTGCTGAAGCAGTTGTAGTGAGGCGCTGCAGCCGCCGCCACTCATCTTTCCACCTGCCGACATGCAGCTTCCAGGACGAACCCAGCATGAAAGGAAGTTTTGCTAATTCCCACATTTAAGATCATGCAGTTTAAGATAAAAACATTAACAGGAATATAATACAGCATTATACAGATATAAGATACTAAAAGGAGGAAACATTTTAACAATCAGACTGGAATCAACCTTTCTCCTTTCTGTCTCTTCTGTTGTTATGGGTCCATTTAAATGATCAATATTTGCTCTTTTTTTACCTTTGATCCAAATACATCAGATTGAATTTTGATTCTTCCATTTTAAAAACATCACTATTGTGTTTTTTCATGCATATAAAATGATTGAAATTTAAATGAAAAATACAGGAAATTAAATATGAACTAAATAAAATGAAGGATCTTTCTCCGATCCTCTTCTGAATGTCGATTATAATGTTTTCTGCAGAAATGCAGGGACACATTAGATGTAGTTACTGAATAAAACAGTTGTAACTGAGGCTACCTGATATGGTTTATGGCTTTATTTTAGCGATACAAAGCAAAACCTTTCTACTCAAGCTGGGTTTGCCCTTTAGATATACCATAACCAGGAGAGGCTGCCGTACTTCTGCTGGAGTCGGTTTGCAGCTTTTCCTCAGCAGCTGAACACACCTTACATGCATGTGGAGCCACCAGACTGTGCTAACAAGCTAGCACAATTATACTTTCTTTGGATTAAATGGAGTTTATGGACAGCCTATTCAAAAGAAATGTCCAAAGTAGAGAACAGGTAGTGGTAGGGTGTATTTTTTTTACTGAAAATACAATCTTTTCAATGTGAATTCTGTTGTTTTGAAAGGCTATATACTTAGCTTATATCAGTAACAATAAGTTGCTTTAAGGTAACAGAGGAATGATTAGTTTTAGCATCCCAAAAAAAACAAAAAAACAAACCACTGGACTTTGTTTTCCAAGTTCAATTAGTTTTAGCTCATATAGAGAGAAACCAAGATTGTCAACAGCTAACAGGAAGGCATACTATATTACAAAAAGTTTCAGCTTCTCTCTGGAGTGAAGTAGAAATGTTTCATCTCAGCTAAGCTAAGGGTTTTCCAAACAGAGACTGCCTTTTTAATGCTAGCTGTGCTAATTGCGCTATTCACTAAAAAGTAGAAAATTGGTAGTTGGTTTCAAATATAAACTCGTGATCAATTTGTCTTTTTGAACAAACAGTTTTCTCTGCCCCTGCTTCTAATATGTATAATTAATGATTAGTCAAAGACAGGGAAATGATCCTAAAAGCTGTTTTTACATCTTTATATATAGGTTGTGGGAATACCAATGTTAAGGATGGGTTTACAAAATCAAAAGATTAGCAGTCACTTTTCTGGATCTCTATTTCAAAAGTGTCATGATTTTATCAAGAGCTTGGACCCACATGCAGAGAGACCAAGGGAAAGGTTTAACAGGTTTATTTAGGAGTTTGTGAAGAATCCAGTGTTGCTCTGAACACTGCTCAACTGGAACTGAAAGGTGAGGGAAAGACACTGCTATTTCAGGCTCAGTAGGAAATTTGATCCTCGAACTTGAAGAGGAGAATTTTGATAGAAAACTCCAGAGAAGTAGCTGACTCTTTGATTCCAGTCTGTGTGCGGTAGTTCCCGTGTTTGTCTGATTCGGTGGAAGGCGGTTACCCAGAATGCGGTTGTTTGTTGGCACACGGAGAAGCTAAGTGCCACCCAGATTTCCTGCGGTACTTGAACGGGTCATAGTGGAGATTAATCCCTTTCTCAGTGTGAAGCTCAAATGATCTCTTGAGGGAAAGTGGGTTCAAACCTTCAGTTTGAAGCTCAGATATTCCTTCCAGGGAGAGAAGGTCCGAAAAATCCAGTTTGCAGGATGACTGCATGCTGAGAAGATTAAAACTCAGGTTGACAAGAAGTCAGTTTGACTCAGCAAAACTCAGCTTGGCTAGAGTACACAAAACTGGCAAACACTCTGGCGTGGAGGTAGTGGCAGTCAGGAGCTTAAGAACGCTCCGTTAATGAGGAAACCATCAGCAGGTGTGTAGGGATGCGGACCAGAACCAGGCGCCTCCTGGTGGAGGAAGGGTGACAAACACAGAAAAAACACAAACACAGACAGGAATCCTGACAAAAAGAGTCGCAACCAATTAGAAAGCTACATCCAGCAATAACTCCCAAAGAACCTTAGTGTCCAGTTTAGTGGATGTTAGTTGTGGACCCAAATGCAGAGCTGAAGAGGCAAAATTTTATTTAAAATCTACATGGAAGGATAAGCCCCTACACAGGATGTACCACAGCAACATAATCAAAGTGACAGATAACAGGAAATCCTACCAATGCCTATACAAAGCCGGACAGAAGGACAGCACAGAGGCCCTCATCAAGGCTGCACAGGAGCAGGCCCTGAGCACTAGAGCAATAGAGGCCCAGATCTACCACACCAGACAAGACCCCGGTGCAGACTGGGGTCAAAGAGGCCCCTGAGACAATCCAGCACATAACTGCAGGGTGCAAGATGCTAGCAGGGAAAGCTAACATGGAGCGCCATAACCAAGTGGCTGGAATAGAATACAGGAACATCAGTGCAGAGTATGAGCTGGAAACCCCAAGGTTAAAGTGGGAAACGCATCCAAAGATGGTAGAGAATGATGAAGCCAAGATCCTGTGGGACTTCCAGATACAGACCGACCGAATGGTAACGACAAACCAACGGGACGTTGTGGTGGTGGACAAAAAGCAGAGGAAAGCCGTTGTGGTTGCCATAGCGATACCAAGTGACTGCAACATCAGGAAAAAGGAACATGAGGAACTAGAGAAATACCAGGGGCTCAGAGAAGAGCTGGAGAAAACCTGGAAGGTCAAGGCATCAGTGGAACCTGTGGTCATTGGGGCCCTCGGGGCAGTGGCCCCCAAACTGGAGGAGTGGTTACAGCAGATCCCTGGAAATACATCAGACATCTCCGTCCAGAAGAGTGCAGCTCTAGAAACAGCAAAGATACTGGCAGAACCCTCAAGCTCCCAGGCCTCTGGTAGAGGACCCCAGCTTGGTAGACAGAAGTAACTATAAGGAGCTAAGGGGAAAGCAAAGGGTACTGGGGGCAGCAAAGAATAACCAGTGGAACCAACAGGATCTAAAGGTAACTAGAAGGAACTAAAAAGAAACTTGAGGAGAGAACAGACTAATGACTAAAAAAGGAATGACTAGAAAAAAACTAAAGGATAAGAGGGACTGAAAACAACCAAGGCTATGGAAAACATGACCTAGATCATAGCGCTTCATTTAATTGTTTTCTTCTATAATGTCCACTATTATGTTAAGATTATAATGCAGATCTTTCATAACCAGGTTTTATTTTAGTAAATAGTGACATATTAACAGAATCTGGGCAGTTCACTACTTTATATCTCACCTGTAGATGTGTCTTTGTTGAGCGAGAACACAAAATCAAAAAAGAAACCTAAAACCGGGTAGGATTCATAATCTTCTTGCTTTTTATTCTCAGTTCAAAATCAAAACCATTCCTGGTAGATGGTGAGCGGCTTTTTGCATGTTTCCGCTGCTGTTTTCACGTGTGCTTGGTATGAGCTCTCTGCCATCACCTTAATCTGTAGCTCCCTCCACAGATTCTGTCTAAGATTCAATGTAGGAATCTGGCTGCGTCGCCTCAAATGGTTCATACTTCCAGTCAGCAAACATGAGTTGATCAAGTTAACTGGGCTTTCTGCGATAACTGAGCAAAGTTTGGATGGCTTTGTTTTTTTTCTGTGGAGTATTCTTGCAGCGTTTTTTTTTTTTTTTCTCTCCATGAACACAACCCTACCAAGCTTGCAGCAACAGATTATTCCTAAAGGTTAAGCATGTCTCTTATAATGTAGAACAGTAATGCAATAAAAAAGCAGAGCCTAAGAGAAGGAGAACACCTGTGTGACAAAGGTTGCAGCCATGTGGATGTTGATTTTGGAAACCTTTCACAAACAGACACGCATCATACATGAGGTTGGTTTATCTGCCTGTAGGAATGGGGAAAGAGGTGAAAAATACCTGCTGCTCTCTGACAATTTTATTCAAAGCTCCATCCGTCTGAGTGTTGGTGATCAGTGTGGGAGGAAGTCAGTGTGTGGGCGACTGAATGATGTGTTAAATGTAACCGCGGTCGTCTTTGAACAGCCCGTCCTGCAGGAGGCTTTAATCGCCTCATTATGCCTGACAGGTTGTAAGGGTGAATGTGAAATAATAGCTAATGTTTCCAGAATTATCCTGTAATGCTGTTTTTCTGTGGTGACAGTGTTTGTCTGATTATTATGCAGTTCTTTTGTTTTTTTTTTCAAATAAAGCTTAAATACGAGTAAAAGGTTTGGTGGTTTTATTGGACACAATTTTTAAGCAGAAATGATTGATAAAAAACAAAGAAACTGATCAGAATCCCAGATCAATCAGGCTGCCTGAGCTGCTTCCAATGTCATCAGATAAAGACATAGATGCTGGTTTGGTTGGATGGTTTTACAGGAAGTTAAGAAAGAATCCCAAAAACTAGGGTTGCACCAATTGCAGTTTTCTGGCCGATTTCCGATCACCGATCTTTAAAAAGTCTGACCTGCCGATTCCGATTTTGGTTGATACCGATTTTATTATTTTTTTGCTATAATCAACACTGTGTTACAAGATCGCAATTCACTTTCAATGTTACAATCTTTTCTTGAAAATCATGCCCTTGAACATTAGCCTTGAACCATTATAAACTTGTTTTAACTGAGGTAGAGCCTTGACATAGAAATTAATTAAATAATAAATATTAATTAAATAAAACAAACTTAAGACTACAACATTGGTCTTTTGATTTTTTTACATTTCAAAAAAAAA